TAATAATAAGTTTGACGATGATCTCGAGTTAAATGTAAATATTTTGTCGATAAAGAAAGGTTCTAGAAAAAAAGGTAACAACGGGTTATTAACTCTAATATTTTATCCTCCTTTTTTTTTTTTTTTTTTACACCAAATCTTATGATTCTTTTTATTTATTTATTTATTTATTTTTTTAGTAAAGTGTTGCAGTTCCGGTGTCTTCCTGTCATTTTGCTATTAGAGTTGGAATACATTCTACAAAAATCCAAACTTGTTTAAAGATGAATATTTTGTTGATGGAAAAAATGATAATACACATGTGTGAACCTAAAGGAATCATACACTTGTGTAATTATGGTTATTACACAACAAATCTATTTTTCATTTCTTTAAATTTGATGATGAAGTTTCATATCAAATATACCAAGATGTGATTCAAGAATTACAAAAGACAAAGGTTTGTAAAGATGCTATTTCTATATACATTTATGAAGGTCTACGAAAAATAATGATATTCAAAATCTAAATATAACATCTTTGCTTATGATCCTGCTGATATCATTTTTAATGATACGCAAGAGGAACCATTTATAGATTTGAAAACACTTCTCATCCAGTTGCGAGATTCAAATCTTTAATAGAAGAAGATCAGCAACAAAGATTATCTATTCGCGACAATTTAATATAAGATGATCTAGAAATTTGGTACTTGGATTGCCGAAGGTAAAAACACAATAATCCATCCATCACCTGGTAGAAATTTTTTTTTTTCTTTTGTATATTGAAATTTATTGATTTAATTTGATTTAATTCTAATTAATAATGATTTTGTCAATTGCTATCTATTCATGCTAGCATTCCGATACCTTCACTTCAAGATGCTTTCTGATATTTATACAAGCGTGACCGTAATCATTCTCAACATCTTGCACCTAATATACCGGAGATCTGTTTCTTATTTTGTTTCTTCATCCTCCGCATTCTTACCATGTTATAAGTTGAAAAAGTATACAGGATGTTTAATTGCTTGTTGTCAAAAGAAAGAGAAAGATTTTTTATGTGGTATTGGTAAATTTAGTTATAGCTGGTGAGACTTAATATTAGAGAGGTGAAATTTCATGAAGGATGCGAAACAAATATAGATCCAAATAGGAAATATATCAAGTTTAACATTTTTGGGTAAATGTTATAAAGGATTGGTTTAGCAATAAGATCCATGACAAAGATGGCAAATGTAATACAATACTATTGATTTAGGAAGAAGGAAAAGGCATAATAATAATTTTAAGTATTATATAAATTTATTTAAAAAAATTTTTTTAAATTGTTCTTTTGAATATATTTCATATTATTTTATTAATTTTATTAGCAGTATTCGGCTATTTTAATCCTTTTTGCGCAAGCATTAGCTTCCATCTTTATCTTCGATAGTTCAAACTTTAATTTAGAAAGTTGATCCTTTTTCTCTTGAAGTTTAGATTGTAAAGGTCTAAATTTTTCATTAAATTCTTTCTGCATTTCAAAGTAGAATCGTTCTTTTTTCAATTTTTCTTCTTTCTCAGATACTATGTCGGATCCGAAACTTAGAGTGCCATTTTTTCCAACCAATTCACCTCTTAAAGTCATTACGCTCCATTGAGTTTTACCAAATGCGATCCTAATAGCTTGTTTTAGATTTTGGGCAACCAAAGTATCCTGTAACACATTATAAAATGCTGGGATAAACATGTCATCTTTCGGCCTAATAAGATCAAAAAGTCGGGGAACATTTTCAGGTGTTGGTATCGGGCGCATGTCCATGGTAGGAAGTTCTTTCAAAGGAATGAACGTGGCGTAACCTAAATTGTTTCTTTTAAGATATTCTATACAAGTTAGTCCAACTTCAGCAGAATCAACTATGATACTGTTCAATGCAGGAAAAGCATTTGAAATCGCGACATCGTATTTATCATCAATGACACCAAGGTTACCCAAACGATCCTAAATATAAAAATTAAAATGAGCAAAACAAATTATATAACGTTCAGCTCCGACGAACTTACATAAATTCCTTTTATACGACCACTATCTTTGAGTTTTATCAAGCTGCTAAGAACTTGTTCTCTAGACTGAGAAGCTTCTAAAAGTTTTTTCGTCTCATCATCTCTTTCCCGAAAATCGGCAAGAATAGAGTTGAACTTACTAAGGTAATGCTAAAAGTAAAAAAGAAATTTATGAGAATCTTAAAATACTTATATTAATTTAAATGTTAAATAATAACCTTTATATCAGTGTCCAATTGTTGAATTTCTAGTTTCTTGTCATCAATTTGATTCTTTATAGATAAGATTTCTAGTTTCTAAATAAGCAGTTTATTAATATTAAATGATCACAAAAAAAGCAATTGATGCCTTATAATAATACCTTTTTCAAATATGATTCTCTAAGTCTAAACGTGACAGCATCTTCTTCTGCTAGTTGTTTAAGAATTTGATTTATTGAATCAAACTTTCTCTTTTAATATATTATACTCAGATTGTTTTGACATTGAATTAATTTTTTCTGACAAAGGTTCAAGTTCTCTTTGCTTATCTTCAATTTGGTTTGAATAAACTTCTGACTTGCCTTTATTTAAGATTACAATTAGATTAAAATAATCGATTTAACATACCCTCTAAGATTTGTCTGATTTTTTCAAGTTCCTTTTCTTGGGCTTTTAAAGATTTTTCTAAGCCCACCATTACTTCCAAATTCTGTTCATTAAATCGTATTGCTGTTTTCGCTTCCGAAAGTCCATGACGATCCTATAATAAAAACATTATTGTATGTCTCGAATATATTTGTGCACTAAAATAATATAAACAAATCAAACCTACTTTAGAAATTGCCATTGTAAATTTCTTCTGTTTAGAAATTGCGTGTTTCTTTTTCTCTCTCTCATAATTTGCCAATTCTGCTAGAATTTCATTTGTTTCTTTTTCAAGTTGCTTATGCTTTTCTTCTTCTTCTCTTATTTGATCTTTTAATTTATTCTAAGAATTAATAAATAAAATTAATTGCCATATTAAATTAGCTTGCCTACATAAGTTATTAAATCTAATGACCTACCACAGCATTAGTTGATATTTCAGTATTAATCTTACATTCTAGAAATTTTTTTTGATAAAGGGCGGACTGTTTCAAAGGTAACGTGTTTTCATCTCGGAGATAATCTTTTGCATCTTTTTTCTTGGCCTTTCAATTCAATAAGGATTGAATCATAATTGTTATTTAATATGATTACAAACGCAATTTACTAATATACTACCTCTAAACTTTGTTTTTCCTTTTCAACTATTTTAACGCAATTTAATTTTTCTGATTGGTCTTCATCCAATGTTTCAAACTTTTCACTTGCTTCTTCAAGAGAGACTTTATATTTAAAAGTTCCGATAACGTCTTCAATATATTCTAAGAGTTCATCCTCATGCACTAGTGCTTTGGGTTTCGTCTGTGATATTGATTCAACTTCCTAATCATTAAATTAAGCATAAAATTTGATAATTTCAATACATTAATCATTAGCTCATGATGAAAAACATTAAATAAAAATAAAAAGAAAAAGAAAAATAAGTAAAAAGGGAACCTGAAAAATTAGAAATCGTTTATGATCCAAATCGATCCCCCTTACTTTCAAAAGATTTGTAACTTCGATGTAATCGCTTTGTCTTCCATTTATGAAATACTTGCTTGTATTATTGCGAAAAGCTTGACGCGAGATAACCAATTGAGATTGAGTTAGAATCTCATAATTATCCGAACCAGGCTATTAATATTATTAAACATCATGGGTTATTATTAAAATTTTTTTTTTTTTTTTTATTTTTTTTGGAAATTAAAACTTTATTAGTTTGTTTCTTTACCAAGTCAAGAATTTCTTCAAAATATATATCAACACTGCAATCATTCAGATTTTCACATCCCTGTGATGAATGAATAAGTTCTGATAATTTTGCTTGATTCATTTTATTTGCCGGATTACCGAATACAAATAAAAACGCATCGATAACATTTGATTTTCCCGAATTATTTTGTCCGACGACAGCAGAAAATGACTTGCAAATAAATTTTGATTAGAGAGAGAATCTCGTAAAACAGCAAATCTTCAAGAAAACAAATATATATTTATAAATATTATACCTCGTTAAACGGACCTATTTCCTGTTTACCAAAATTCGACTTAAAATTATTCAAGATCATTTTACTAATAACGCAACGCTGTTTAAGTTTTAATTTAGGAACACTGTCAATAGAAACTCTAGGTGAAGCTGAAGTCATTATGAAATTATATAGGGGAGAATGTTATAATAGAATTACGGTTACGCGTCAGTAACGACTAGTTATTTTACAAGGAAACGGAAACCGGAGATTTTATAAGCAAAATTATTGTGTCACGGATATTATTTAAGTATTTATGTCATACAAATATGTAAAACGTCACGCGTGCGAACTGATCTACCCAGCTGGTTTAGTTTCTAGTGACTTTGTCATTTAATTATATTAAAAAAAATTACCACTCAAACTTTGAATTAAATATTTTTAGTCTCATCTTTTGTATATTAAAGAAATTTATACCAGATTAATTGTGCGATTTCATCAAAGATTATGAATTGAATAACAAGCATTGAATGTATCATTTCTCTAAAGATGGAGTATACTAGGTTAAATATTTCGTATTTGAAATGTGTTAGTTTACCTGAAGTTGAATCTGATGACAATTAAATATGGAATTTTGATAGTAAATTTCTCTTGACCTTTTATTAACTAAAATTATTTCGAATTCTTGGAAATTTCATAAGCATCACCAAGAAAACAACCTCGTTGTCTGTTCATTTTGTATAAAGTGATTAATTTGTTCACTGTGAAAAATGTTATGACATCAAACTGAGCTTTCAAAGTTCCAATTACATCACTTTGAAAATATAATAGATGTTGTTATGAAAAATATATTTGATTACCGATAATCATAAAACAAATAATCAATAACTTACCAAAATAATATATTATTCAATATATTTTGTCATAGTATGTTATGTGAAGTTGAATTAACATCCTTGCCAAAATGTAAATCACCATTGTTCTTATTATATCTCATTCTTTTGACAAAGATTTTCCAATAATAACTGATTTTTCATCTTTATCAAATCCATATCTGAAATCTATGCCTTATATTTTGGCCTAATCATCTTTCGGCGAAATGAATTACATAAAGAAACAATTTTTTTTTTTTTTTTTTGTTAATTTAATGCGACGCGATCTTTGAATGGCCGGTGGCTTAGAAGTTTGTTTAACAATACACGTTACACGATTTTTATGAAAATCTGAAGTTTCGTCAACTTACCAAACTCGCGTATTAACATGCATCAAGCAAAAACTTATAAAACACAAAATATTCAAAAAGAATTGGAATTTATGAGTTGGGCCTTTAAATGTTCAAATTTTAAGTATTTTATTGTTACATTGAAGTAAGAAAGTAACAGTAATTTAAAATTTTTTTTTTTTTTTTTATTATTATTTTCATATATTTATATACTAATTTTAAAAAACAATTTTTATTTTTATAGCTTAGTCGGAAAAAATATTTTTCCAACCTTCTGGAGTTAAAACTCACTTTTAAATGTTATAAAAAATATTTAGTAATTTTTCTTCGTATCGTTTATCGTATGCAAGAATTTGGTAAATATATTAATTGAATAATTGTAAATTAGTATGAAAAAATAATAAACTTTCAAATGATTTTGTTCAATTAGAGTACTTCCTTTACCTTAGAAATTTCAAATCGATCGCTTTAAAATTATTCTTTATTCAATTTTCAATTATCGGGAGGGGGGAGAAGAATGTTAAGGTTTATTTCACATTGTTACATACCTAATAGAGATAATCATAGGAACGTGAGCTTGGAATTTGAATTATTTTCATTTACATAGTAATTACAAGATGAATGTATTCAAATAATATTATTTAAATTTTTAAAAACTTTATTCTAAAATGTTAAAAGCAACGAATCTAAAATAGGTAAATATTTTTACAATGGCCATCTACTCAACACTCCAATACCATCGGTCACGGAAGATAATCATTTGATCCGATCAAAGAGCAGGTTTTTCGTTATTGATTCGATTGCGATGGATTGAATCATCGTTCGGGTGGTTAAAAGGTGATGAATGGTTGATGTCGTCGGGTTGATCCAGTAATTTTATAAGATTATTTACTATTTTTTTAATTGACCTTGACGAAATTTATAATAAAATGATGTCATTTGAGTTCGTCGTTTATTCGTTATCTGAATTAAATATTTAGTCAACCGTCCTAAATATTTTCGACGGCCTACAAATAATCAACTTCACATAATTTTTCTAATTACATTCTTTTAAAAAAAAAATAAAATAAAATAAACACGAAAATATCGATCGATTTTGAGGTCGCACATGGTTTCCAAAATAATTAAAAATTTTATCGGGTTATTAATAGAATTAATATGGCTAAAAACTAAAAATAGATATAGTATTATACATCTGCGAAATTACGTAAAAAAAAAATTCAATAAATTTAAATGTGACGCAAATTCGGGGGGGGGGGGGGGAGTTGACATTTCCCTTACGGTATAAATTGTATAATTTATTGGCTTTTCTCAAATTTTTTTACTTTTCACATTTTCATCTCAAAAATAATTAAAACTATTAAAAGTAAATTGAGACAATTCCACAACGTTATTTATCATTATGTATATTACAAACTTTTTTATACACATAAACATGTATGTGAAGAAAATGTTCTCTAAGAAAATCCTTCAAAAAGTCGGGGAACATTTTCAGGTGTTGGTATCGGGCGCATGTCCATGGTAGGAAGTTCTTTCAAAGGAATGAA